TATACACCTTGGGCTATAGCTAGGTTTACCAGAGAAAAGAACACGGTGAACATTTTTCATTTTTGATGTTAGATGTGAAGGTATAATTAAGGTCATGTGGAAATTGCAGTTTGTTTTCATAAATGAATGTAACCAAGGTACCACCTATTTCTATTCCATGAGGCTACCTTAGGCACCTTGAGATAATTGGCCACATTTTCTCACAAAGGGGTAACAATTTTTAAACAAACTTGAGGTAATTGGACACATTTCTGACAAAGGATATAATTCTAAAACCAAACCGCCTAACGGCCTTTATTTTGAGGCATTTCTATTATGGCGTGCCTGATCAAATAACAACTTTTACATTTTATGAAATTTTGTGGATTGTGGGGTGGAATATTGTTTGAAAGCAGCCATGCTCTAGTTGTTAGCAAGTGTGCCCATAGTGGCCACAAGGTGTCTCACTTCACGCAGCTCTCTGCGTAAATAGAAAGCGAGACGTTTTGTCCCTGCCACGTAAACCAACATTATTGCTTCAGCCCATGGTGATTGACAAGAGTTATTACAAAAGAATCGTGAAAAGTCCAAGCAAATTCCATAATAGTAGATTACACCACTGCTCTCTATCTAGGGAATATAAAGTTGGTATTTAGTATTATTTAATCTATTGGAACAGAGAAAATGTAAATAGGATCATAGCATAAGGTTTGGAATGTGATATTTGATATTTCTCAACTTTTCTCTCTATAATTTCTCTTGTAAACTGCCCCCACGATCAAATATTCCGTCGCCTGGACGGCACGATCAGCTATTTTTCTCTATCTTCTATGGTATGCCATTCTCTTTCTCTGTTGTGATATACACTGTGTTTTTCACACCCATGCTTGAGTTTGGCGTCATACACTGTATTGATCAGTACCGAAAGTGCATTTTCAGAAAAGGGGCAGAGATACTATTACTGACCTACCTGGTATATGACTTTTCTGCATCTGTTTTAATGTTAGTGATAGAACGCAATGGAATCCGAATCGTTGCGCAATTATCATTGTATCTAACCAAGGTATTCATTATGATACTTACATGCAAATAGGCTTGCGATATGAAGCCTGAAAATGATTTTTGTTTTTGTTTTGAGGAGTGGAAAATATAGATCACCATTTTGGATTGATTTCCCCCGATCATGATCAGGGAGATAGCATTGCATCTAATAAACAAGATATTTATGTGAGTAAGATAATTAAATTCATTAGTATTTGAGAAATGCCATTGGTGGAAACTTTGTAACAAGTGATAAGAAACATGTTTATATTGTCACAATGCTATAATTATTCATTTTGGGTGTAGTTGTGTTCTTTTAAGATTTGGCGGTTAGGTCGATGACGTCCAACCCTACACCCTACGTGGGCGAACTTGTCACTCCTCCGTTTGCACAATGTGCGATTCCGCTTTTAGAATTCCAAGGAGAAATAATTTATTTGTGGTCCTGGCCCTCTTTGTCAATGGTGTTTGCCCAAAGCTGTGGTACAACCATGGTTCCCAACTTGGGTCACATGGTGTTTGTCGTATCAAGCCGCGAGTTGCATTGTCAGCCCTCTATTGTTGTCTGTTGAATTGGACAGAACAGGTATTACTCATGGCAGGTCCGTATTTGATGGCTTGTAATTCCCCTTTCGTTTTTTTTATTGGGATATGCTCCTCCCAGTCTTGTCTATTCAGAAACCACAGCCGACTTTATATTTGGGGAATTTAGGTTGCTTTTTGTCATTTTCCCACGATGGTTTATCTAGAAAGGAGTGTATCGTGTCGGCGAGCCCGCTCTGGGGCTGGAATACATGTACCACGGAATTATTGGTAAGAAGTAACTATTTAGAATACATTTAACAATACCAACAATGATTAATTAAAATCTGATATTCATTTTTTAGTGGGTTTTTTTCTCAAGTTTTGTGATTTGGAATAGTGAATAACTTGTGTTTTATAAAGTGTGAATAGTTGACCAGTTCTAAAGTGCTTTCAAATATTGTGCATACATCTAGTAGATTGGTTACCAGTGACATCTCAGGAGTATAGCATATGTCCCTGGTTAGAGGTTTCTCCAACATATCAATAACTCATGAATTCACCCTGCATTTTCACAACTCGCAACATGTCAAAACTCAAATACAATACATGTAGTTCAGCACTAGGGTTTTAGGGTTGAAGCATTCATGAATTGGAGTGCATTTATTAACTTTATTTTATCTCTTTATTCTGTTTAAATAAAAATGTGTCAGTATTAACAGTAATATTTGGGTTTCATGGCTTTTTGTTTAAACATTATTTTTAAGAGAAATCTAATTAATTGGTGTAGAATGAAATTAGAGTCATTAGTTGTTTTTTTTAATAATTATTTATGTTTGCATTAGTTAGCAATGGATTACCAAAATGTTGATGAGAGTATACTTCTGTGATCTAAATTAATTATTTTTACCTTTAAAATGAGAGAGTTCAGCAGTACAGACAAAGTGTACATAGACATGTACATGTACCTAAGAATTTGAATGGTTAGGGCGAGTTGATTTGAATGAACTAGATTTTGTTTACTGGTCTGTTTGCCAAGTCTGCCCCCTCTCTTGCTTACTCATCCAGTATCCATTCATCCTAAATCTTTATTGTAATACATGTATTACAGTAAACTAGTCTCAATAACCATACCTTTTGTGTCAGTTTGTAACACAAGATTGTGACCAAGAAATATATTGACATGTTAAAGAGATATTCATATTGCTTCGGCCCATGATAGATTTGATAGACTATCAATGTGTACCCAATATCTTGGAGTTTTGGACTGCATATAATGATTAGCTGATATGAAAGTTTTTTATTTCATATTAGTCACCAACTGGAGTCTGGACATCTATAGAGTAGGAAGACTATTTTTTAAGGACTCCAGGATGTAGTCTCCTAGTTACAAACACAAGAAACCAGGAAAAACGAGCCCCACCTTCCAAGATAATACAAATAATTTCAAAAAATATAAAGTAGTTCATGAAACTTATTCCTATGATCATTCTAGTGAAAATAGAAATAAAGTTAGCCTGTTTGTAGACTAGATCATCTTCTTACTTTACAAATGGTCTCCTATTGATTTCTTGAGAAGGATATGAAACCCATGGTAGGCTGCACAGTTGGATTATTCACCTGCTTTCATTTTCCTCAGTAAGATCGCGGGATGCATCTAAGTTTCTATGGCATGAGTCGGCGGTTTAGGAAAATGTGAAATATTTCTTACAGATGTTTTGAGAATCAAAAGTTAAAGTAGAGTGAAATAATACCTTGTGGATGCAGATTGTGAAGGAAATTTGAAAATTTGAATATCAGTGCTTTCATCTCGCAAATGCATCAATATATAAACTTGTAGACAGGTTTCTTATTTCATTCACTTGAAAATCATTGTTCGAAAGTATATAAAACATAGTATTTGTTTCAAAAGTGAAAAAAAAAAACTCTTGAGATATGAAGGCCTGAACATATGGGTTTTAAGATGAAAAGGAAAAACTGCTTGTCATTTTATTCAGCTGTAGTCTCTTTCGGTTTCATCAAATGGTTATGATTTTGACCAACGTGTTTTTCCGGAACAGATGCCATCAAAGTGAAACGTCATTCATAAATTTGGATGCCATCTCGTATCAGGTAAAATAAAAGTTGTAGACAAAAGGCCCGGAATCGGACAATCGTGAACCAACATGGTTCTGTTTGTCCAGATGATACTTATACCATGCCAGTGTCGTGTATTTACATAGGCCTTTTGTGCTAGGAAAGTACAAAGGAAAATGATGACCAAAAAAAAAGGAGAGATAGAACAGTGCCACAAGTTTGAAGGACCATGCTTGCATCACTGCATATTTGGCATTCCGACCGATATTATGCAAATGTTTTTCTGTCTGGTTAAGAAACAAAGCCACAGAAAGCAATATTAGACAAGGTCATTCAAAATGGCTGTGTCATATATGAATGCATAGACGAGTGTTGTTGTGGTCTAGAGGGTGTAAAGAGACCCTTTCGTGCTTATCCATTGCCTGTACAAATATTGATATGTTGCAATTCTATGTCAATTAAATGATCATGCTCTTTTAATAGAGAGGGGTTCTAGTGTGCTGCTTTTGGTATCGTGCAATTGAGAAACATTTATCCTCCGAATCTCATACCTTACAGATATGCCTAGAATTCACAATTTTTCAAGGTAAACCACATTGAAATAATTAAAATTTGTCTACCAGGGTTTGGGTCAGATTTTATTTCATTGTTCCTTTCTGTCAGCCAGAATTTCCTGGCTCTTCAGTTTGTAGCAATTGTACTTGGGCTTTTGCACTTGGACTCTTGCCGGTCATACGGTCAAATATTTGGATCCTTATTCTCTCTTCATATACCATAGATGTACGTGATTGACATCTCTGTCATGACAGATCGTTTGGTTGTAGGTTCATGATCGGGAAGGATTTAAAAATAGACGGCAATTTTCACCCTAATCTCCCTCCATGATCAGGGATAGGAATAGCCCTCGATACATCCACGGTCATGATTGCAATAGTCCCACATGCAGGTATTCCTGTGAGGAATAGATGGCCTTTGGTATGTCTGCAGTCACGATTGTGTAGCCCCACATGCAGGCTTTCTTGTGAGGAATGTCCTTTGGCTCATACATGGTCATGGTTTTGTAGTCTCACAGGCAGTTATTGCTCCAAGGTGAATGCCAGCTGAAACAGGATATTTTGAGCAGTAGAGGGAGACATTGAGAATAAAGGTGTTTTTTTCCCCTCAAATTAACAAATAATTGAAGAATGGGAGAAGAGTGGAATGAGAAGAAAGAGGTGACGAAGAAAGAATATTTTCTTTTCATGTATTTGTTAGCACAAACTTTGTCACAAATCTCGCTATCATTTACTATTTCTCATTATGTATTTAATTCAAAAGATACGCAATACCTGCACTCTTGATTAAATGCAAGCCTTCTCTTTCCTTTCCTTTCCATGTACCAGGGGTTCGTCAGCGTCTGATTTCCGAGGCCCCAAGAGCCCAGACCTGAGAAAGCAAGCCCAAGAGAATGCAGCCATGATGAAAGATGCAATGTACCCAACAACAACAAGTACAACATCATCGTCAGTGAACCCCTTGCCCAAGGAAGTGGCAGAGCAGAAACCAGTCAATACCAAGAGGGTCAGGAAACGAGAGTAAGTAGCGTTAAAAGAAGAAGAAAAAAAATACTCATCTTGTTATTCCAGTCAATTCTTTTGATAAATTGATGCTACAACTTTGCCGTTTAAAGCTACCTGACATTCATGCAGGAAATTAACTGTATATAAAATTTATTTGTCATGCAAAATAAATCCCTGATTGTACTCGGTTGCTACGGATATGAGGGTGATATAACATGATGAAAAGAATTAATAGCAAAACATAATTTAAAAGGTACCTTACAAAATTTTCCTTTATATAATCTTGTCAAAATAGGTTTCAGTATGATTCTGTATGATTCAAGTTATATTGAGATCTATATTTCTTACTGTAATTAATTGATCTTCTGTTGATTCATGACTGCAACGTTACTTTTTCATCCCTCTCTGCAGATCCCAGCCCGGTTCACCGAGGCCCAAATCTTGGCACACCGACGTTAGAACCCTGAGCCAACCAGACCTGTCCAGGATGCCCCAACACAGCCGGCAACGACACGGGGAGCAGACCCAGCCACGATACAGGAACCCTCCGCCAACGCAGTACAACAAGTTCCACAGCTCTTCGGATTCGTCCTTCATGATGTCCAGCTACGAGGAGAAGACTGGCTACCACCAGCATGGCAGGTCCACAGGGAACATTAATAATAACAGTGCTGAGGACACGATAGAACCCTTACCAGGGCACGTGCAGAAGAAAAGGGAAGCATTTGAAAGGACAATTATGTCGCAGAGCACGGATAAGATTAACACTGAAGACCAATATGGGGATGTGTATAGTAAGAGGTATTCCAAAGGAAAGGAGGCAATAACGCAAGGTGTGAATCCCAAGTTACGGAATATCCGCCACGATCTTGAACCTGCAGAGACTTATCCTAAGGTCGTTGTGGCTACGCACATACACAGTGTCCAGTCAAAGGCTGTCCTGGGAAGAGTACCGGACAGCAGTGACCAGACAGGTCAGAAGTACGGTGGTGCACAGGATGTCAACATCTACGCTGTCCAGATGCCGGAGAGGCAGATTGCCAGTTCGGCAGATTCATCTGTCACAAGGAATTATGCGCAGGCGCACAGCAATCTGTCGGGGAATCCTCAGACAAGTTACGTTCAGTCAACTTTCGGTTCCAACCCACATTCAAGTAGTTTTGCCACTCATCATGGAGAAATAAGGAAGGTGCCACCAGCTATACCAAAGAGAGAAGACTCTAAGACCAAGACCCAGGCGTATAGCGATCACGTGAAGTCATCATCATGGCCAGTGTCCACAATCAGTTCAGAGACCACTTGTACCTTGACAGTGTGTCCAACAATACTCCCAAGTGACTTGCCTCCTGTAAAACTGACAAAGACAGAGAAATTGCAGAAGTCACCCACACACTCTGTAACACAATCCAATCCAAATCAGAATTCAAATAGTACAGACCAACATATCGTCCAGGCCAAACGAATATGGATTGATGATGCCAGTGAACATGAATTTAACTTTGAGGACAGTAAAATGCTTAGTAGCGACAATACATTAAATACAAACACGAGGCCTCCATCCCCTCCAGTGCGAGACAATGAAAATGGAAATTACAAACCAAAACAAAGCAAAACGACTAGGAGTTCTGACGACAGGTTTAACACATCTGATCACTTGATCCTGGACTATCGCTCTTTCTTGGAAAAGACAGAACAGCAGCAGGAGAACCTGAAGTCTATTCAGCCTGTTAATAGTGTGCCGGAAAGCAAGAACAAAAGGGAGCTTTTTACGAGAACTCATGATTTTAGTAAAGCAACTCAACAAGAAGAAAGTTCACCGATGGCACAAACGCAGCCAGCAAGGGAGTCTTCTACACGGAACTCGTGGTACCAGGAGAAGAAGAAACAGAGGAAGCGCTCGTCGCTGTCTTCAGAGGATTCATTGAATTTTTCTGAGTTTGATCTAAACAAGAAAAATCTGGGACAGAACCCTGCAAGAACCTGGCGCAACCCAAGTGAAAGTCGTGAGTCAACAACATCTGACTTGCATCCGCAACTGACAGGGCATCCTCAACAGCCCCAGCAGCAACAACCTGTGGAGCCCAGGATTTCCAGTCATTCACGGCAATCCAGTGATTTGGACAATCCTAATGCCCCAAGGAAGCGCACACCAATTAGCCCTTCTCTGATGGAAGAAACCTTCAGAATGGAGCAGGAGCCAGAGCAGAAGACTTTCACTGAGAAGGTGGAGAGGACTGTGAATCGCCAGGAGAGCAGGGATAGTCGCAAATCCGGCATATTTGATCAGAATGATGATTGCCAGCTTGAGAAACTCCAACCGGATGGTAATCTCTCTGAAAACTCAATTCTTAGGAGATTAGAAAGGGAAGGCTCTTTCAAGAACAATGTGAACCTTGACCCACAAAGGTCAGAGGGCAATGAGACATCTGCAAGGAAGACTATGCCAGATACGAAGAGAGACCTTCGAAATCTAGGTCTCTCAGAGGATGCCTTCAAGCAGGATCACAGACCAAAGAGTAATCACTACAAATCTGGGTCTTTCACACATGATTCAAGGGGGAATGCGGGAGATCCACGCCTTATGAGAACAGCACCAGTACCATCATCACATCAACGCACACATTCCATAGACACATATAACCGCAACCCTCCAAGGAGGCATGAAAGTTTTGAGCGGAGGGGAAATCCAGTCTCCCGTGAAAGCTCCTTTTCTGAACACAAGAAGTCGAAATCGGATTCTGATCAACATCCTAAAGCAGATCAGCAAAAGAAGAAGATGTCCGATCCTATCAACAAACCCCAAAATGTCAGGAAGACATCGGATCCCGAGAACAGGCAACAGATCTGGGATGCCCTCAAGGGGTTCGTGCATAACAGACGTTCTCCACCAGGCACTAGTCCCGCCAGCTCTCGTCCACCAAGCATGTCTGGCTCCGAGCAGTCCCTGTATCGCAGTGACATGTATCACTCCACCAGTTCTCTTGCCAGTGGCTACTCCAGCAGCAGGCATTATCCTCAAGATTCTTTGTCAAGCATTGGCTCCTCCTTTTCCCACCCTCTGCATCAGCCACAGGATTCAGGCTTCGGGTCAAACAGCGACATATCGCAAGTCCGTGGCCCGCACTCCCCATCCCAAACGGGCGTGGTCTCTCCAAAGGATGTCCGCATTGCTGCCTCCATCGCTCATTCTTCCTCCATGTCATCTTCAGGTCCGCAGTACCAGCAGACTACCAATGAGCGAAGGAGAAGTCACCAGGTTCAAAGACCACCACACCAGACCAAGCACCTTACCTCCAGGATGTCTCTAGACTCTATAAACCTTCCCAATTCTCGGAACCAACAGGAGAAGATGAGGCCGAACCGGTCACCCCAAGACAAATTTGAATTCTCACCAACTCGACAGATATCACCTTCACCATCGTACAATGTAAGTAATTGAAGATGTAGTTCCTTATTTAAGAATTTAAAAAAATCGAGCGGTAGATTGCGATACTTGATGACAGAGCAGGAATTTGTTCTTGTTGTGTAACAGTTAATTTCGAGAAATGTGTTTGATAAAATTTGATATTTTAGATGCCATTGTTCCAATGAAGGAGTATTCCAAATATCTCATTAAAACCATGTATTACTTTTAAAAAGACCAGAAATGGATAATGGTGAATTTGTCTACAAATTTTCCTGTCACATATTGTCTGGTGAGGGATAGAAATCAACTCTATGTCAAATGGTATTAACTTCCCCCTTCTGGTTCTTAGCAGAAGATGTGGAAGTTTTGTTGCCAATGTATGAAGAATTATTCAGAAGGACCTTTTAGATCTTAAATTTTAAGGAAATAAGCATTGGGGGGGGGGGTTTATGAATTAAATTCTTGATTTATCGAAAATTCTGTAAGATTTTAAGAGGAGTAAAGGTATATTTTTGCAATTCACCTCTATAGGTACATGTGGCAGAACGAGTATCGATATCTAGCCTTAAAGAGGAAGAGAGCAACAAAGAGGGCACCGTTTTCTACGAATCGCTTCAATCCGAGCGAACAGAGACGGAGGTGAACCACCGAGTCTTTAGGTACCCTCCCAGGTCAGACCAAACCAGGTGAGAGACTGAAGTACCTCATATACAATCACAACGACTTTCAAGAATTCCACTCAAGGGAAATTTCAATTTTGTGTAGTATAGCCTATAGAAACCATGTCTAGATTATGACATTGTAACGTTGGCATGTTTCAGTAGGTTATGCAAGATGCTGTTGAAATTGCCGTTGGGTTGTTTTATGAAAGTTTGTGCGATTGTGTTCCTGTCTTCTTTTAAAACAACAAAATCAATGCTATACGATGCTTGCCTTAGTAGTGATCTGATTTAGACATTACTCAAAGCAGATGGAATAAGGTCTAAGGTATTTGTGTTTTGATGTGAAGTCCATTGATGAGAGTCTACATGGTGATTTTTAATTACCTCATTTGTTTCCCAAATATTTTTGCTCTGAAGCAAAACTTCAGCAAAACGAGAGGATTTATGAGAAAAAGCTTTGCTTAATTCTGAAGTCCATACAGCATAAGCTTTATACCTTAATAATGTATATTATCTGTGGTTTAAGAATATTCTGAAAAGTCTGTCAATTATTATTGTCACCTGCTAATTGAATATGTGTTGGTACATTATTTTATCAATCAGCAGCTCTGGTGGTCAGAGAACATCGCCCAAATCATCAACAGTTCACCCTCCGGTCAAAAGCTTGTCCATGGACCCCTCATACCAAGAACTGGAACTCAGCCCCCCTCCACCACCCACGCCCCTATCCCCTCTTGATGGCAGGGGTAACATGGAGTTCCCCCCTCCCCCTCCGGAGCTGGCGCCTGCATCCAACACGAAGAGGAGCAGCCCTAAGCAAGAACCCAGTGAACAGACTGTAAGGCAGGCAACACAAGGGGGCAGCATGCCACTAACCAGCCCAGAAAGAATCACACCCAGCTTTGCAGAGCAGCTTCAACAGTGAGTTCATACTTTCATTATCTGTCTGCATGAAGGGCATACAATGTCTGTGGTTGTTTCGAGAGGTTTTGTTTGTGGATGTATTACAAGGGGTTTCCCTTTTCTCTTTAGTCTATGAATGTAATGTCGCTCATATCAATATCTTTTAATTCTGTGTCTTCAATTTTCTTTCCTCCCTAACTTGAGGTTGCCTCTTCTGAATCCTGATTCAAGCAATCTATTTCGTAATACCTTTACTTACTGGTCGTTCCATACACAACATTGTCTACTTAGATCAAGAAAGACGTTATGTCAATGATTATGAATTAACATCCTTCTAGCTATCAGCAAATGGAATGTGTGTTCTTTACAAAACATCCAGGGAGGAGGGGTTTATTTTCTGCACTCGTGTTATCACAACATACATATTAAAATACTTCCTTGGGTCGGCTTTAGCTAAGTTTAGCATCATTCTTAGCTTAACATGAGTTGAGCTCTAATTTAACCCATTAAATCCTGAATTCTCTAATTACCATAGGCTTAATACAGGGGCCACCCGGTTCCCATAGCCGATGGGTTAATCTAAACAGATATTTACAATCACACCCGTCAGTGTGTACTGTTTACATGTACATCCAGGTATCTTAAAAATAGCCCCAAATAATCACCCAATATCTTATTTTATCATAGTTTCAATATCAACAAAGTACAGGAATAGCTCTTAATGGAATTGAAACCTTTCAAGTTTCTGCTCCCTGCTAAGGGTCAAATGGATTAAGATAAAAAATGATAGACTTCTCTGAATAAAGGAATGATTGCGATATCTTTTGCGCTGAGACAACCAAATCCGCTTGCCTCTCCAGCTATCAGCTTGTAATTCCACAAAGGATGCTATAGTTATCATTTTGGCCGAATAGTTCCAGGGAGTTTTATTCGGTGCTGCTACCTTGTTAATTAGTCCCGATGCAAGATTTAGGGAATTTGTAAATTCCTTTTGATGATGCAATAGGTCTATAATAATAGGTCACAAAAATGGTATGAACCTAGCCCTAGTTTCTACACATCCCCCAGAAGGGGAAAATAGAAATATGGGAGTGTCATAAAACCTTTTATGATTTATTACTAAAACAAACTCATTTCTATGTTGTTATTCATTATGGGGAACCGAAACTTTTATTGCTTGTCATCTTCATGTACTTCATATGGCATATGGCTCCTCCGAGGCTATTCCTGAGGAGAGGAAATTGCTTTTTAAATAGTTCATGTATGGTTCAAAATCCTCGAACAGCTCTTCAGTTTCTATTTGTACTTTTTGAGTGGGACACTCCCAAACATTGCCAGTTTCTATAGCGAGGACTTTGGAATATAAAAAAAGAGAGTTATGATGAAAAGTGTATGAAAGTATGCTTTTGAACCATATTGTTTTGTGTCTGTTAGGAGAAATTATCATTGTCAAGGACAAAGATGTACAAAGAAGTAGGCCGGTGGTTGATGCATCAGTGAGGTTTACACGACAGTCGGTTCACCTTAGATTTAAGTTGTGGTTGAAACTACAAAGTTATGTTATAGTAGGGACTATGCTGATGCACTCGAGGTTACTAAACCTTAATTTATAAGCCACATCTGAATAATGTTACCAAGTCCTTTTAAGGTTAGCTCTATAACTTTTAAGCAGTAGAGGGTCTTAAAATGACTGCTTAACCGGCTTGTACTTTGTTGTAGTTTTAAACTTTGAATGCTTGTTTCAGTCCTGCTTGTTGTGGTTTAAACTTTAAAGTGGATGGTTGTTTATAATAACCTCCACGTTTCAAAAACTTAAAGTTTAAAACTATGACAACCCCATGTCATGTGAACATAGCCACTGTCTTTTTCTGCTCTAGTCTGGGGATCATTTTTACAACCTGGGACCTGTTTCACAAAGCTTTTTTTCAATGACAAATGACAAAAATCAGTGACAGATCTGCTGATAACCAATCAGAAGCAAGGATTTCAGTAGCTTATAACAAAAACTGTCATTTGTCACTGATGACAAGTTTTGTGAAACGCCCCCCTTGTATACACCCTCGAACAAAAACCACTCTTGTTTTTACCTATGCAGTCAACAAGCTCTTACCAATCCAAAACACCTCGTTGTTTCATAATCATATTATCGCATTATCCAAGAAATAAAAGAGGGTTATCGTGCAGGATAATGGCAGATAAGTATCTGACATTTTTGGTGGGATTAGTGAGTGTCTGTTCAGTTTGATTGAAAGATGGATGCAAGGTTAGGTTGCTAACTTGCTACTATTATCAGATCAGAACGAGGCTGGTGTGGTTCTATCGCTGGCCTGTGGACACTAGGCTGTCATGAATAATACAAGTCAAATTAAGGAAGCTTAGACTGTGAAATCTGGTGTCATGAAACGACGACGGGTCCAGAATTCAAAAGGCGTAAAAAATTTGTGATGTTGGTACTTATTTGGCATATATCTGAATGGAATTTTATTTATAATTAAGCTACAAATCTGGGCTGCAAGGTATAGTACTTGTTTTTACCAGCGCCATATCGTAACAATGTGGTTCTACCTCTGTGAAAAACTTGTGATGAAATAAACAGCAAATTTTCTGCCTGTTTGCCTCTCATTTACATGTAATTGTAAAATAACAATCAAGAACAGACAGACTTCTTGAGTCCAAAAATTGATCTTTGATCCGCTGTCTAATGAATCTCATTGTCGTGCTCTGAATGCAGCTCATCCAGAAAATTGCCCAGAATTATTGCCCTGTATTCCATACAAAGAGGAACCAGATTTTTTTTATTTGAAAATGAAATAATCCAATATCCTAAGCAATACTATTCATTCCAAAGTCTCCTAAAATCTCAGCCTCAAAATATGCCATTTTCATTTTGATATGGAGCCCAGTTTGTTCTTTGCTCCACCATTATAATTTTTTTTTTTTTTACAAATGCTTCCTCTTTTCCCCTCTGGCTTAATAATAATAAAAACGATGCTTATAAAGCGCTTACCACTTGTACTTTGGCTTGTATACTTTTCTGAATGTTACCTCCTTTTACCAATTAAGTTTTTTCTAAATATTTGTTTTATTGCTAGACAGGTTATAATCATAAGTTCCCCTTCTCCTTTATGTAGTCTGTCTGCTTATTCTGTAAAGCTACAATAGTACCAATCTGATATGAAGAGGGTCGTTGTTATACCCCACTTATTCAGAGTTGTAGTTGAAATATATCATTTCTGGAATGCCTCTGGGTTTTGATCAGGCCGCAAATCATGAAACGTAATTGGAAAAATACTTGAATGGCAGGAAATGAAACGGATGCTTCATTTAGGGTGGAAATCATAGGGGAGTGCTTAGAGTTTATTTGTGGGTAATTTCTATCGACTTCTACATGTTCAACAAGCTCTTCTAGTACCTTCTCTCTATTTCTTTCTTTCCCCTCTGTTTTCTAGAATATTTTTCTCTTTCTATCTATCTCTCTTTTTATTCTTGTTCTCTTGTTGCTATCCTTCTTTCTACATGTGTTTATCTGTCCCTTTTCCTGCATCTGTATCTATATATCTCTCTCTATTTCTCCCATCTTTCTTTCATTCTCAGAGGTGCTCTCTCTCTCTCTCTCTCTCTCTCTCTCTCTCTTTCTCTCAATATATATCTTTATTTCTGTTTCTCCTTTTGTATCTGATCCCCTCTCTCCACCTCTCTTTCTCTTTCTCTCTCTCTGTAATAACCTCATCCCATTTTTTGTTCTCTCTATACCCCTCTCTTAGATTTTATAGCTTTAGACCAAGAAGTTTTCTTATATTCATACGCAGTTCTGACTCTTTCCAAGAGCCATTCTTTTATCCTATGTATTTTATTAAGTTGATAAAAACAATATATCACATTTCTGGCATACAGAGTTTCAATTTCAAGAGGTAACATTGTGAAATGGAGCTCTCGAATCCTACCATGAAATTGATAACATTCCAAGACCTGAAACAATTCCCATAGACCAGCCCGAGTCAATCATAATAACGGTATTTCAAATCTGATCCCATCTTCAGCCCTGTCCCTCTATGTTAGAAAGCCTAATCCCCCTCCACCACATAATGGAATCTCCCACCACCACTTGGGGGCCCATTCATAGCTTCGCAGAGCACCCACTTGTAGTAGTGAATGCATTCGGGACAGATCATCTACCTATATGCTGCACTGATTTTTGTGGTTTCTATAAAGGAAGGAGTTCTGTAATAATCAATTTCACCTACTTTGCACCAGAAATCATTTGCTGTTTATCTGCAAGAAGTTTCCATCTTTGGCAGCCATATTAAGGTACTATCTATTTTGCATGAGCATTCATTTTCCCTTTCCTTCTTTGTTTACATGTATATAGTTCCGAACTTCCGATACCATCATCTTTTCATTGAAATAATGTACAATTCATTTTCAATGGTATTGTGCATGTATACTGATTATTGTACTACTATATTTGATTATCAGTTATTAGTATGATGGGCGTTGGGCAATAAGTTAGCTGCAACTGTTTGTAAACTGCCATACATGTAATGTCATGTTCTAACATTTTTTAAAACAAGTTTGAGCCTGAACTTTCCCCTCTTGTTAAATGTTATTCTTATTTTCTTTTAAAGATTTTTCTATCAATCTATGCCATTCATCATCATGTACCCATAACTATTTAGCCATTACTTTGTAGCCAATACTTTGTACTTCTCTCCAATAAATCAAAACAATAATGGAAGTGCAATGAATATGTTTAGTTTATTCATTTTACACACCAGAGATGGCATGCATTTTAGAAACATTGCAATTTCTTTTTATTTCATTCTCAAATAATGGCATATAAATCTATGTGAACCTAGACCTCAGGCTCAAGAGATTGAAGAAGTAACAACCATGTTTTGTCAAACTTTTGTTATCATTTAGATAATATTTATACTTATTCTTACCACCTCAGTTTCTTATCTTCAGATCACATTACCAAGCAGATGCAAATTCAGTAACTCACTAAATCCATATTAGGA